TTAGCACATGTTTTGATTTAATTAAAATGCCGTCTACAAAAACTGTGGACACAACCAAACAGAGTATCGATATCATCGAGCTGTACATCGAGAATGCGCGATCGGCTGCGGTAACCTTGCGCAAATTCAAGGCAAGGTATGGGCAAAGTGTGACCTTAACTTTGACCACAATCACCAAGTCAGTTTTTGAGGGGAGAGCTTTTTTACCCGTAAATCCGTCGGTTCGTCGGTCTGTCGATAATTTATAATTAACTTAATTTATTAATATTATATATTAATTCGATGTAGAATTTAACGTTGAGTCTGAATTTGAAATTTAAAAATTTTTATCTCAAATATTTTTCGAGTTGTTCGACTTAAAAGATTCGACCGATGCACCGGTTTTTTGTCACTCGTTTACAAAATTTGATTGTGTGCGAGGGTGGTCACTTTGAGAACCTTATCCATTAATTCCACTAAAACTATCATTATTTCTAAATAAAACAAAATTTACTTGGACAAAATATCTCAACTCTAAGTATTTTTAAAAAATTAATTAAAACTCTAGCTCTTTATGCCCAACCCTGTATATACAGTATACACAACATATAACACTGCTCTATAAATGGGACGTACTGATTTATGGAATTAATAAATTCATTACTGATATGATTTGTCATATTATTTGTCACACACTTTGCTAGATAGTTTTTATAGTGTACTTACGAACTATATAAACTATTGTTGTTCAATCTTTTTTAGCATATTACAGATACAGATTCATAGTATGCCATAAAAAGGTGGCGCAACGGGCAGTAACAAAGTTTAGGTTTGTCAGTATTAAACAAGAAAAACCGCGTGAATGTCAACATAATAGTTTCTCACCCATTTTTATAGTGGTTGACTTTCAGTCTATCCACAAACGTTATTTAAAACAAAATTTAATTATTAAATACACATTTTAATGAGATTTGTGATATTGTTTGCGATTATCAACAAGTTTATTAATATTTGAATCAATCATATTTGATGGCTATATTTTCAAACGTGATTTTAAAATTCTTAATTTAATCATTAAAATATAATTTAAATATTGAGATGACACTTGGCTTTACTACTCCAACTTACTAATAGTAAGTACATTAAACACCTGTAATATAAACGAATGCTTAATATGTTTTGAAAAATATATGAAAACAAAATAACTATTAAAAAAAATATTATTTGTTAATAAAACTTATTTATAGTCACCATGGCCATTACACCAACCCCGCTAACCTCAAACAGCGCATTTATGGCCCGGTATATGGCACTGGAGCAACCGGCCGACAAAATCCAGGTCACCTACGTGTACATGCATCCGGGCAACGACAACCTAGCGCATTATTGCGGCAAAACCAAAGTGGTCGACTTTGTGCCCAAACACCCCGACGACTTACCCGTATGGGAATCGGGGCTACTTACAAACCACAATGAAGAGATACTCCTACGGCCGGTGCGACTATACAAAGACCCATTCAGGGGCGGCAATAATAGACTGGTCTTATGTGAGACATTGGACAGCGATATGAAACCCCAAACGTATAATCACCGGCACAGTTGTCTGGAGGCCATGGATGCGGCCAGTGGTCAACACCCGTGGTTTGGCTTTGAACAGGAGTATATGTTGCTGGATGGTAATGACAGGCAAAGGCCACTGGGCTGGCCCGTGAACGGCTACCCGGAACCGAGATCTGCCCCGCATGTAATGTATCATGGTGCGGTCGGCGCTAATAATCAATACGGTAGGGATGTTATGGAGGCCCACTTCAAGGCCTGTCTGTACGCCGGCGTTAACATCAGTGGCGAGAATGCCGAGGCTCAGCCTTCCCAATGGGAGTATCAGGTACAGTTTTGTTTATAATCATTTGCTTTAAATTAGTATTTATTATTAAGTTAATTTACAATGAGATTGAGTTAATTGTGAATTATAAGTTTGTAATGAGTTTGCTCGCAGTGATCATGACAAAATAATAATCTAAATAATGTTTTACTTTAAATAATTTACTGCATTTGTTTGTAAATAATCTTTATCATTCATTTAATGCAACATTTCAATGAACAGGTGGGTCCGTGCGAAGGCATACAACTGGGCGACGATCTGATAATGTCTCGGTATATACTGTTGCGGTTGGCCGAAGACCTGCACATTGGGGTAACCTTTAACCCGAAACCTGTAGAGGGCTGGCCGGGTAACGGCGGTCACACCAACTTCAGCACTGAGGCCATGCGCCGGGAGGGAGGGGTAGAGGAGATTAACCGGGCTATTGAGGCCCTCAGCAAAAGACATGA